AGAGTTACGGGAATTCGCCGGGGAGTATATGGGCCTTATTGGGCCATACGGGAATAGAGGAGAAAAGCCGAAACGAAGGAGGCGCGCAGCCCCCCTCTGGTCCGAATTGGACAAGGGGTGCGGCCCCCCTTTCCTTCCTCCTCTCCCCCTCTTTCCCCCTTCTCCTACTCCAACAAGGAAGGAGGGAGTCCTACTCCCGGTGGGAGGACTCCCCTTGGCGCGCCCCTCCTAGGACGGCCGCCCCCTCCCCCCTTGCTCCTTTATGTACGGGGGCAGGGGGGCATCTCTAGGCACAACAACACAAGTTGATCTACGGATCGTTCCATAGCCGTGTGCGGTGCCCCCCTCCATCATATTCCACCTCGGTCATATCGTCGCGGAGTTTAGGCGAAGCCCTGCGCCGGTAGAACATCATCATCGTCACCACGCCGTCGTGCTGAAGGAACTCATCCCGAAAGCTTTGCTGCATCGGAGTCCGGGGATCGTCATCGAGCTGAACGTGTGCTGAACTCGGAGGTGCCGTACGTTCGGTGCTTGGATCGGTCGGGTCGTGAAGACGTACGACTACATCAACCGCGTTGTGCTAACGCTTCCGCTTATGGTCTACGAGGGTACGTGGACAACACTCTCCCCTCTCGTTGCTATGCCATCACCATGATCTTGCGTGTGCGTAGGAAAGTTTTTGAAATTACTACGTTCCCCAACACCACGTAGAGTCCAAACACAAATGTGGCAGCCAAGGACTTGGCCAAGCAGTAGACAAAGACAATGGAGATGATGAAGGCATTCATGTGCGTGTGTACGTACGTAGACCGCGGTCACCCCAACGAACATGGCATTCATGGTAGCTAGGGCGGAGGAAACTAGCGCCAGCGTGTTGGCGGGGAGGAAACGTGGAAGACTGGTTTTCCAACAAAAAGTTTCGTCGTGTTTGGACTTCTGTAGGTATGGATTTTCTGGAAAAAAATAAGTAAAAACATGAACAGCCACTGGGCACTAAATTAATAGGTTAGTCCAGAAAAATAATATAAAATGACATATAAAGCATACAAAAGTGATAACATAATAGTGTGAGACAATCAAAAATTATAAACACATTAAAGACGTACCACTTCCCCGTCCGAGCAACCTGCTATTTTGTTTTCTACAAACAAGAATCTCATCTAGAACTGTTAGACTATTTATTTTGGTTTTTGTACAATGAAAGCTAGATCCCATATGTCGGTTGATCCTGAATTGTCAGGAAGTATGCGACATGGGGTGGGTGGGAGAGTAAATTTTATTTCGAACCAATCTGACATCGGCCTCCCTAGTGAATCTTCCTGAGGTTGATGTATCGACCTCGGGATCTTTTGTGCGGGCTGGCAATCCTGCATGTCATGGAAAATCCTTGGATCCGAGCTCCAAGCTTGGTCTGATAAAGCGTTAATTCCACCTTGCGGCTGGTGGGAAACCGGCACTTGGGCGATGATCATTTATGGCTCCTTGACTAGATCTAATGTCATGGTAGAGGGTACGGCTATGGAACTTTGGGTCGTCGAGATCAATGTCCCGACGGGTGGTTGGAGCTTCAATATTCGCTGGTGCTTGGGCTGAACAGAGGCCTGGTTGCCCGGCGTAGATTCTACGCCAGCGTAGATCTGGTCGTTGAACGATGACACCATCAAGCTGCTTTGACCACACAACGGACCTGTATGGTCCACCAATGACGGAGTCAAACTTGGTGGATCTTGGGTAAGGGGGTCCCTAACTGCTGATCTGAGTTAGATGGTAATAGGACGAAGAGGAACACAATGTTTTACCCAGGTTCAGGCCCTCGTCGAAGAGGTAAAACTCTATGTCCTACTTTTATTGTATTGATTATGATGGAGTATAAAGTACATGATGGTCTACCTCAAGATCGTATGTGAATGAATGTTTCTCCGCCCTATGGTCTAAGAGGGTGTTTGTTTCCAGAGACTTATTGGTTTAGGGACTTAAAAAAGTCCCTATAAGTCCCATCTAAACCAAACATGAGGGATTTATAGGGACTTAAAGTGGGCATTTGAGAATTATGAAATAAGACTCTCAAGGAGGGACTTATAGGGACTTATAGTTGTAATATGGTCTTCTAGTCCATGTTAAGTCCCAGGAACCAAACAAGTAGGGATTTTTTAAGGACTTGGAACTTATAAGTTGTGACTAAAAAAAGTCGTAGGACTTATGAACCAAACAGAGCCTAAAACACCTCAACTTATATAGACGCCAGGGGTACCTAGCGTTAAATGTAGGTCTGTTACATTAAGGGATAAACATGCTGATGATTTGAACGTGTCCTGGAGTATGCATCAAGTCTTCGGAGAATTCCATCGTGAGTATGCCATGGGGCAGGGCAAACATGGCCCACTCGCCGTTTACTTGGGGGTGCTACTTTTTGAGCTTGTGTTGATTTTTCCCTTGAAGAGGAAAGGGTGATGCAGCAAAGTAGAGATATGTATTTACCTTAAAAACCAAGGTATCCATCCAGTAGGAGGCACAAGAAAGTCTCCAATAGATGCACCTGCACAAACTAACAAACACTTGCACACAACGCGAAAAAAGGGTTGTCAATCCCTTCACGTTCACTAGCAAGAGCGAGATCTAACAGAGATAGATTTAAAATATAAATAAAGGTAAAATAAAGTAACACAAATAAATTGCAGCGAGGTATTTTTGGGGTTTTAGTTTTATAGATCTGAAAATATATTATAAGGAATTGACCTGGGGGGCATAGGTTTCACTAGATGCTTCTCTCTCGAAGAAAGCATACGGTGGGTAAACAAATTACTGTTGAGCAATTGATAGAAAAGCGCAAAGTTATGATGATATCTAAGGCAATGATCATGAATATAGGCATCACGTCCGTGACAAGTAGACCAAAATGATTCTGCATCTACTAGTATTGCTCCACACATCGACCGACTCCTGCCTGCATCTAGTGTACGTATTAAGTTCATAAGAACAGAGCAACGCTTTAAACAAGATGACATGATGTAGAGGGATAAACTCAAGCAGTATGATATAAACCCCATCTTGTTATCCTTAATGGCAACAATACAATACGTGCCTCGCTACCCTTTCTGTCACTGGGTGAGGACACCGCAAGACTGAACCCATCACAAAGCACCTCTCCCATTGAAAAAAAAATCAATCTAGTTGGCCAAACCAAGTCGATAGATCGGAGAGAAATACAAAGCTATCTTAATCATGCATAAAAGAGTTCAGAGAAGACTAAAATAATATTCATACATAATCTGGTCATAAATCCACAATTCATCGGATCTCAACAAACACACCGCAAGAGAAGATTACACCGACAAGAACATCCAGGAGAACATTGTATTGAAGATCAAAGAGAGAGAAGAAGCCATCTAGCTACTAGCTATGTACCCGTAGGTCTGTAGTAAACTACTCACACATCATCGGTAGGGCAGCAAGGTTGATGTAGATGCCCTCCGTGATCGAATCCCCCTTCGGCGGAGTACCAGAAAAGGCCCCAAGATGGGATCTCGCAAGAACAGAAGCTTGGGCCGGTGGAAAAGTATTTTTGGCGCCCCCTATGACGTAGGGGGAGTATTTGGGTATTTATAGGGCTGAGATTAGGGTTAGAAGAGCCACAAGGGGCCCACTTGGTGTTTGAGGTCGTCTTGGTCCAGTTGAAACATTGGGAGGAAGGAGCGGACCGTGAAGCTTTATGACATGTTCGTGTGTTGTGTTATGGTCTCCGCCCACCCGTATGCACGGCGGCGTCCATGCTAGGAGCTCGGTGTGTGGCTCGGGAAGAAACAGAAGGGGGGAAAGAAAGTGGCCGGGGTCAACGCTACTAGTTTTAAACACGGCTGTGCGGGCATGCTTGCCGGCGAGGACTTGGACTCAAGGGGAAGCAGAGGGTCGTGCAGTCGTGGCGACGTTGGCACGATGGTAGTGGCCGTGGCCGACGCAAGCGGCCGGCTTGGCGGTTTGAGCGGAGGTCGGCCGGGAGGAGGAGATGGGTGGTGGGAAAAAGGAGGAGGGAGGAGGGCGACACGGGTTGCAGGGCTCGTCGGTGGGATCCGACTCACGTGGCGTGAAGGCTCGCGTGCAAGTGTCTCCCACGGGCCTAGGTGAGGGGCTCGAGCTGTTGTGGGCTATAAAAAAATTGGTCCCTGGTATGTGCCACACGTCAGGTGCGAGCACATATCAACTCCAAATGTTTTCAATGAGAAGTTTATTTACGCAAGGTGCACAACTTTAGTTAGCAAGCATGGCAACTTTCTTGCTTTAGTTTATTTTTGACAAAAAATTACCGTGTGTAACTGGAATTTGCCATTCTTGCGTGACTGGAACTGCCATCGAAAACCTCAAGGCCGAAGTGCCACGCACATCACGTCTGGCACTTTTTGGAATATTTTTTGCCTTTTTTAGTGCTGGCTAGGACGGTGACCGGTCAAAACCAGTCAAATACTAACCCAGGGTTTTTTCTTGTCCGGCATTGAAAGTCAACGGTTGTAAATCAGATGGTTTTGTAGTTCAGGGTTATGGTTTAGAGTTTGGTGGTAGTTTGAGGTTGTAATATGGACTTCTCGCCTTGAAATATGCTTTAGACTAGAACAAAACAACCAGAATTCTCCTCAAACATACAGTTATGGAAACTTATTTCAAATTTCAATATGAAACTCACATGTATGAAACATGGTTGAAAGTACAATTTTAAACAACTAGGGAAATGAGCCTTACATTAAATTCTTGCTCAAAACTGTGAACATATGAAATATGGAACACACATTGATGAAAGTTGAAACCTCTGGAATTGAAAGCCCTTCCGACGGTGGGCTAGGAGTGTCCTTTGTTGCGAGTGACACATTACAAGAAGATTACCACGGATTGACTCTGACATTTATAGTTTCCCCTGGATAGAGATGGAAGGCATCCCTATCCCAAAACTGTAGGTTGTTTTACTGGTAGTCGAGAGAAGTTGAAATTGCGAAGCCATGCCTTGTAACCTAGCCTTTTGAGTAGCATTACTTCCCCAATAGCTACCATGAAGATAAACCAGACAACATCGAGAAAAAGGAAAGGGGATACGATAGCACATGAAATATAAGCTATTTTGGGGGCAGCCGGCTCTAGTACCACGTAGAGTCCAAACACAAATGCGGCAGCCAAGGACTTGGCCGAGCAGTAGACAAAGACGATGGAGATGATGAAGGAGGTCATGCGCGTGCGTATGTCGACTGCGGTCACCCCAGCGTACATGACGTTCATGGTAGCTAGAGCTGAGGAAACGAGCGCCAGTGTGTTGGCGATGATGAACGCGTGAAAGACTGGTTTTCCGGCAAGCATAGCTATTCCAGCTGTTCCACGCTTACCCTTCAAGTCGTCTGTTCGGAAGCCGCCTGGCAAGGTGAAAGCTGCTGCGAAAGCTACCGTAACAATTAGCACTGACCCAATGCCAATAATCTGCGTGGAATCTGAGATCTTCTTTTCTTCCACTTTAATTTCTATTGGCGGGATATGTTCTTTGAGGAACCAATCACAGCGGTATGCAGCAGTTTTAGCTCCTGCACCTTTAAGTAGTAGGTATATCCTATTTCGTGGGTTCTGCAAGAAAAATAGAGGTTAATGTGTTCCTCATGATCGAGTTGAAAATTCCACCAACCTACTCATATCTAGACCAGAATACTACCGATTCAAAAATATGGCAGAACAAGAATAAGATTGATGAACTACGTACCAGCATGAAATTAAGGCCTTGTGGCATCTTCGTCCATGCAATATCTAGCGGTGTTTGGCCTATGTTGTTCACTAAATCCAGCTGAACTTGCGGGTTCTGAATTAGAAGATAGAAAATCCACTGGTTCCCGACTATGGCAGCAAGATGGAGTGGACTGTTCCCATGATTGTCTTGCACGTTCATAATTGGTGCAAATGGTATGTGATGGTACCAACTTCCGACCACAAGAGGGTGCTCCTTCGCAATACCAACATGTAGGAAGGTCTGGCCATTACCATCACGCAGTCCTGCGCATGTGGGCACCGTGTCCAGCAACACGCGAAGTGTAGACCATGAACTTCGCGTTGCTGCCACATGTATAGGGAACGACCCACTATTGTCGCTTTGAAATGCTGCAGATTCGTCACAGTGCAGTAGTAGTTTGATCACCTCCTTGCTTTGACTCCCCCATGAAATGGCAATATGAAGAGGCGTACTTCCAGTCAATTGGTCCGCTTGTTTGGTGAGGGCCTTGTTCCAGTCCAGTAACTTCTTTGTAATCTCTGAAATTTCGGTTGTTCATTTAATTTGTCAGAGAGCTATGAGCCTATGATACAATTTCTTCAAGATGCATCTAGGTAAGGTTTCACACCATTAACTTACTCAAATTTAATTGCAACTGAACCTAGCTAGACACTACTTTTTGGTTCATCAAATCAAAATGAAAGAGTTAATCCCTTAACAGGGAAATGAAATGAAAGAATATAAAGCATGCTAAGGCCTTGATGTATGAAACCAAAATCCATTGATCTGTTAGAACTAGAAAATAAACAACACACAATATTCTCATGTTTAAAGTTTTGATCTTTGACACAAAAGCATGGCATACTCTGGCTTACTCGACCGAGTTAATGAACATCATGAGGGGAAGAAGAAATTAAATGAATGCTAAGGATAAAAGAGAAAAACTTATTTAACGAGGTTAACAGTATTAATATTTTAATTAGAAAACTAGTCCAAGAGAAAGAAAAAAAAACATTATAGGGAATGGTTGATGGTGCACTAGTACAACTGTACAAATCAAACTTCTAAGTAGCTGAAACTCCGCTATAGCATTTGGAGGAGAATCACGCTAAAGTTGTGCATGTTTTGCGCTAAATGGACTTTGTCACTAGTATTGGGCTATAGCGTTATTTAGCGATAAATTTGGGCCTCAATTTTGCGTCACGCTAAAGCTATGCCAAGCTTTGCTTCGTTATGTATGTATGCTTTGCTGCTATGCCTTTATTATATTATGGCCGGATGCTTTGCTACTATGCATGCATGGCTGGATGCCAAGTATATGTGTGTATGCATGTCAATTGTCAAGCATGTCTATGGATGAGATATTGATGCATCACTGCATACTTAGTTCTTCATTTTTTTTTCATGATACAATGAAAATGCTGAATGGGGCTTAGTTTCACTATAGCTTCTCATAATTTCTGGTAGAGCCGCCGCTCAATGACAAAACCCGCCATATGTAACTTTGCTACATATCCAATATTCTAGTGCCGTGGATTTGGTTTTCAACAAAATTATAGCATCCGACAACAGTAATCGCCACCCTTGGTAGTTTTAGAGAAAATAGATTGTGGGAAAACAACTGACTATGGTTGTAGTCTATTTAAAACCGAAAGAAAAACCTTAAATTAGTTGGGAATTCTAACTATCCCGGAGTATAATTTTATTCTAGTTAGTGTTTTCACAGTAACCAACTATAAACTACCGAAATAACTCTCGCATTTTTGTTCTATTAACTTTCCGGTTTTTCTCTCTTGAACTTCGAGTATTCTTTTTCATTTTATTTTAGTTATAGAACTTCTATTTTATTTTCATATGAGCTCGTCCTTTAATAGAGAATTAATTAGTAGAGTGGCTTTCAATTTTCTTTAGACAATAAATTGATTACTCACTTTAATTTGAACTTCTTGGTTTTTGTTTTAAAAATATGGAAATCCGCAAAAAGACCATGTACAAAATATTCTAATACAAAAAGGAACTCTTATTCTTGTGTATGAACTTTTTTTTATTTTAGTGTATGAACAGAAAATTCTACACGGTGAACTTTCTTTGAGGGTTTTTATCTTGTATTTTGTTTTATTTTTTTACTTTGAACGTTCTGGATTTTTCACACTCTTTTCTGGTACGGAACTTTTATTTTATTTTTTGTTGTTTCATGAACTCTTTCGAACCACAGCCTTCATTGAAATTTGATGGGAAGTGCAACCCCCCCCCCCCCGAACTAAGTACTCATTAACAGTTGTTGAACTTCGGAATACTTTCATGCGTACGAAATGATTATGTATTTATGTTATTTTTCTACAATGAAGTACTGAATTCACCGAATTTACAGTTGTTTATTTCAAGTTGAACTACTTTTTATTTTCACAGGAGCTCACTAGACCGCGGAATTAGCAAAGCAGACTTCTGTAATTTTTCTAGTGGCACTTTTATTTATTTTATTTTTATTAAGTTCTAGTGAAATCAGAGTCAAAAGACATAAGCCAATAGCTGATCTTGTATAAGTTTGAGTACTGTATGCCAAGAGTGGTATCGACTAATTAGTTGTCTTTTGAAAATTTCGTGGTTAGAACTTTGCCACCGAGAATTAACCTGCTCGACGTTCATGAAATCTTTTGAAATTGAAGTATGTTAAACTTATGTGTTGTGTGAGAGGATAAGGAATAGTGTATGTTATTACTCAGTGACAACAATAGATTAGTCCAGCATCTACTTCTAGATAGCCGGTTGCCCCACTTCTGACTAAAGTTTCAAATCCACGTGGGATTATACACTTTAGTTTGGGAAATATAGAATTATTGAAATGATTGTGTTTTTAACTAGACAAAAGTTGCAAAAAAATATTGCAGCTAATATTTCTACCAGCTGGATCCTCACATGATTTATCTACAATGTGTGTAGGGCATGAGTGTTCACAGATTATGGGTGCAGCCGATGTGAGATGGTAGCACGTGCTATATTCAGCTCATTTTCATGACAGTCTAGTTATAGGATTACAGATGCGATCATATTACATTTTTGTTGCTTTAGCTTTTTGACCTTTTGTACCGAGCTGATGTTAGATGTCTGGACTTCAAAGTTTGTAAATAAGTGTATAAAGTTTTCCCTCTTTTCGAAAGACAAGTACAACCAAAATATGTTAATTAGTGTGGCAAAGCAAACCCAAGGAAATTGTTGTAACTTAACATCCAAAAAAATACAGTCTTGCTAAAGCACATCTAGATGTGCCCTATGTATTGCACATATAAACCTCATATCATTGATTTTACACGAAGGTTCATGCGGGTATTTCTTTCCTTTTTTTTCTTATATTTGATTGAGTCACTTAGATATGCAATAAGTAGGACACATCTATATTCGCCCTAGGCATACTATGCATCTTAAAGTATGGGGAGATGGACAGAAATGCTCCATCAAATTAAAATCATAAAATAACAACACGCACCTTTGCCCCTAAGCACGGCGACATGCAAGACGTTTTGACCATATGGTCCAGAGTAGGACAGCTTCTCGTTCTCCGAATGCAAAAAGACTGCAATATCATCATGTCCTAGTGAGACGGCCAGGTACAAGGGCGATGTAGCGTCGCAATGCGGAATGCAAGCCAATTCTGGATCCACCTCCATTAACTTTTTAACCATTTCCTTCATAGTTTTCTTGTTGGCCAAGCGGAGGGCCTCATGAAGGGCCGTCTCGCCTTTCTTGTTCTGCTTTCTGAGCACATCCGTCACCCTTGCATGCCCGCCGTCGGCTCTTGCCAGATGGATGAGACGAGAGAGCATCTCCACCCCGCCAGCTCTTGCAGCGCAATGAAAGGGCGTATCACCCTTGCTATTGCCTGCGTCCAGGAGGTGCTTGGCCTTCTCGTGAATCACGCTTGCGCACTCCAAGAAGTTCTCTTCATCGCCGCTCACCGCAACGACATGGAGGATCGAGTCCATCTCCAGGGTGTCCACCCTTTCAACGTCGATGTCGACCCTCTCAATGTCGATCATGACTACAGGCTCCAACACAACCGGTGTGATAGTTGTATTGTCACTGCCCAGAATATCACGTAGTTGGTGCAGAAGGCCCATCCGAGCTGCCCTCAGCAGCTCAGGTTGGTAGTGCTGCACCTCCAGTTTTGCCTCCTTGTGCGACTCCGAAGGTTGCATTTTGTTCCCCAAACTATATGTGTGTGTCTGCGTATTCTCGCTTAAGTGGTAGCACACCCACGCGATGCATGTGTGCGTATATATAGTTAGTGGCACCTCAAAGAGCTAGCCTGAATAGAGGTATGCGCCTCCTAATAGGTATGCGTGCACCTGTTGGTTAGGAATTTATCCTTTGTAATATTGTTGCCGCTTTACATCTTTCGTTTGGTTCTGGTCCCTTTTCTGTTGGCCATACCCCGGTCTCTGCATTATGCGCTCGCACACAACCATAATTATTAAAGTATCTATACCTAGACCAATATAAAAGGAGTAGAGGAGATACAAAAATTTTCATCCATTCAACCACATGTGTCCAATAGTCTATACGTCACTCCGATATTTAGCGTTAAACATGTTTAGTACCTTCCATAAATTAATGTCATGCCTAATGTGAATGACAGGATTAACCAAGTAATTATATCCTATCTAATATTAACATGCAATTTATATCATGCCTAATTTTTATGTGCAATATAATTAATACCTTACTTAATAGTACTATTAACTTGCATTGCACGTACACTATTACTAGCCAAGTAAAACATCCAAGTTACATAAAAAGCCGAACAAGCCAAGGCACACCCTGTCTCATTAATTACACATATCTGAAGCAATATAATTTTGTTTAAACTAGGGTCGTTCTACGTTATTTTATGAGGATACATTACAAATTATATATATAGTACTAAACAAAGTAGACAATTTGCCGCGCCCTCCACTGCCGCTCACAATATATATGGATACTATTTCATCAATGAATTGTTCCGGTTCGCTATAAAATGTAGGCACACAACTAATTGATATACCATGATATTTGGTGTCTGTTTTTTTAACATAGTACAGACGCAAATGCTCATATATACACGCATACACTCACCCCTATGAAGGACCCTACCCCTATGAGCACCTCCGACAGACTGACCCGGCATATTATCTTGAGATTTTATGAAAATCCTGAAATAAATCCAGGATAAAGGCGAGCACCAGGACTTGAACCCTGATGGGCTGACCTTCCATAAATTAATGTCATGCCTAATGTGAATGACAGGATTAACCAAGTAATTATATCCTATCTAATATTAACATGCAATTTATATCATGCCTAATTTTTATGTGCAATATAATTAATACCTTACTTAATAGTACTATTAACTTGCATTGCACGTACACTATTACTAGCCAAGTAAAACATCCAAGTTATTACATAAAAAGCCGAACAAGCCAAGGCACACCCTGTCTCATTAATTACACATATCCGAAGCAATATAATTTTGTTTAAACTAGAGTCGTTCTGCGTTATTTTATGAGGATACATTACAAATTATATATATAGTACTAAACAAAGTAGACAGTTTGCAGCGCCCTCCACCGCCGCTCACAATATATATGGATACTATTTCATCAATGAATTGTTCCGGTTCGCTATAAAATGTAGGCACACAACTAATTGATATACCATGATATTTGGTGTCTTTTTTTAACATAGTACAGACGCAAATGCTCATATATACACGCATACACTCACCCCTATGAAGGACCCTACCCCTATGAGCACCTCCGACAGACTGACCCGGCATACTATCTTGAGATTTTATGAAAATCCTGAAATAAATCTAGGATAAAGGCGAGCACCAGGACTTGAACCATGATGGGCTGGGGATATCACTGTCTTCCTAATCATCTAACCACATATTGGTTCACGTGTTTGTTGAAACACATGATAACTACTAGTGTGGGAAATTCTAGCTCTTACTAGTAAAAATCTAGCATGAAGCCATGAGTGAACTACATTATCTGCATGAAAGTTTTCTTTTTTGTTGAGAGACCAAGAAGAGTTTTGTCTCTATTTTAAGAAAAAAAGGATTGATGGGTGATCGTTCTTTCTCACTTTCCCCTCTTACAAGACGACTAGGGAAAGTCGTTCTCCCCTCGATCCCTGCCAGCGAGCGTGTGACTACACGGGCTAACGCTTCCGGCGGCTGGTGGTAGGGAAGGAAGTCTGGGTGCCTTGACTCCGGCTAATATATAGGTTAGAGTTTTAGTCCTCGCAGGGGTGGTGCTCTGGCGGATGTGGCGCTTCATTTTCGAGTCAGTTTTCTAGGCTCCTATCCTCTGTAAGTTTGTCCGTCAGGAAGGATTATAATGAGCCGCGACGTAGATTCCTACTAACTCTTCGGAGTGGCGAGGTTAGGGTTTGTCGCCATGCCTATGGGCGGCGAGATTTGTTACTTGGTTCTTCAAATCAATGATGGATGCGGCTCCAGGACGCTGGTCCTCGGGGTCGCGTACATGAAGAACTTCCCACTGTCATCAGCAAGGTTAGACGGGCTCGAGCATGGGAGCAACGACATCAACATGCTGATGTCACACTTATGTCTTGTTCTGTTAACGACAATGATTGTTCGCTGGTCGGAAGGGCTCGATGTAATTTTTATTACTTTTAGAGTGCTTTGCACTTCTGATGAACATTTACAATATATCCAAGTCCTTTTTGCTAAAAAAAGAGAATTGGTCAGCTAGTGTGGAAATTAAGAAGAAATGGACTATTAGTTAATACGAAAAATGGCCGAAAACCGATACAAAGCAACACAAACACGCACCAGCTTCAAGGCTGCGCACCACCCAAGCCGACTCTGCCACTCATCGGCTAGAGACGACACCCTACAACACAACTACAGATTCCAAAGTCACCGCTCCGGCATTTCCACCAGCCTAGACGATGGCTCTGCTCAAGCGACCAAAGCCAACACCCAATGCGGAGGAAGATTTTGGTACGTCCACACTGGCCTCTAAGCTGTGTGTCAACCTAGCCTGGCTGTGCCACCCGACCGACCAAAATCAACACTGCACGTACGCCTAGCGCAGAGCAGGACACTAGCTAGCAAGCTGATCCGTGTCATTAGAAGGCACTATCGGGTATCAGTTTGGGTAAACATCGGTATTTGTCGCTGCAATAGTTATTATGTGCGTCATTGCCTCTAACTAGCGAACAAAGGTGAACCTCATGCGATGAAATTGTTCTGAAACAATTATTAATGCTATGTGTGTGGGCATGTAACCCAGTAAATTATTTTCGTATGAAATATGTTCGTTGCCACTGGCAGCGGTTATAGTATAAACAAAAATTTCCATGTGCTGTGGTCCTTCTCAATTATACCTGCAGGACATATAGAATATGTTCTTTGGCCCTGGCAGCATGTAAAGCAGAAACAAGAAATCATGTCCTGGTCCTTCTTAAATAGAGATGCCACCATGTGGTTCCTTTTTTAAAGTCATAGGAGATATGCCCTCAAAAGAAAGTCGTATAAAATATGTTCATTGCCTCAGGTGGCACGCAAAGCAAGCATGATGAGGTTCTTCTGACAATATTCACCTGCCTTTGGCCGAATATTTATCTTAGTGGATTTTTTTGGGGTTCGTTTATTTCTGTGGTCATCTGAAATATGTTCTGTGCTTCTGAAGCACGTAATGATTAGCACAAAAATGTGCTCTTCTTGAGGCATCACTAGCAGGTCTCAAAAGCTATTTTGGGGGGGGAAATTTTTAGGGATTAAGCACTACCTAGCAAATTCCTTATGACCGTGAGAATGGACAGCCTCACCTCTACCGCACCCCTAGGCACCCGCCGGCGCCGGAGACCCACTGTCAGTCGCCAATTCGGCGCCGCCAACACTCAAACGTCGGTGCCAAAGGAAGAACATCATCGACAACTCTCGGTCATCAGCAGCTGTTGACGTTGGCTCTGCCCCGACACCCGATGGCCCTTGGCCCAGCTGAACAACAAACATGAGCGTCGATTGTTGGCCAATGCGGCGCCGACGAAGAAGAAGAAGACTGCGCTAACGTCAATGCCTTCCCATCGGCCTCCCGCAGCGCCGACGCGAACCCAACGTCCTTGTGCAACCCCCCCCCCTCCTCCACCCCCGCCGACCAAAGATGACAGGGTTCAGACGAGAACAGGAGGGAGGCCAACGTGCTCGAGGA